AGAGAGATGCTTTACCCATTATCCTTTTTTTCAGCAAGCGACGCAGAGAAGACAGTATCTCCAAATCAGGCACAGCCAAGACACCCCAAAGCAAGCCCAGGACAAATGACTCAGAGAAGAAGAGAAAAAGGTAATTATATCTTTTAGCTGAACTAGCCTATTATTATTTTTCATACACCAAGCATCATGTTATTATTGCATTCCAGGACATCATGCACTATCACACTATTTCTTTTGTATTCAGTACTCGCTGTAATTTATTCTGATGGGCGCCTTCTACAACTCTTTCGATGTAAAAGAAAAGATATGAGTCAGTTTTTAGCTCAATTTCTTTGAAACCGTACAGAGGAAAGCCAGGCTTTCCCACAGCATGACTCAACATCCTAATACTACAACTGAGGCTTAATTTTCTTTCTATCTCGTATTTTCTCTCTCCCTCTCTCTCTCAACAATTCTCAGTCACTTAGTGAGAAACCACTAGTCTAGCAAGCTGACATTTACATCATGTTCTCATAAAGGCGGGGCAGTTAGACCTGAGGAAGCATTTATTTCTGATGACTGTGCGCCGCCAAAAACAGCTCACTAAGTCATTTCTGAGAAGCCATCCCTTTGTTGTGTGACATGTCAGTGTTGTTCCAGTAATACGGTCAAAAGTGCACCAGTCCTGACACGGTCTTATTCTGCTGTTGTGGTTCTTCTCGGACAGTTTGGGCTGCATTTGCTGCACATGACAAGAGCTGGCCTGTTCAGTGGGGGGCAGTGTATCTTTACCCCCCTCTGAGACAGCAACAACAACCATGAAGAGCACATTTAGGAGGAGGTTTACCCACAGCTTTTAAAAAGAACGCCCACTCTTGTACATTGAGGTGTGTGTGTGTGTGTGTGTGTGTTTGTTTGTTTGTTTGTGTGTGTGTGAGTGTGTGTGTGTGTGTGTGCCCGTGTGTGCTCGGTGTCTGTTGTGTTTTTGTTTCTCTTGGGGTTTTGTTCTTTCCTTCGTGATTGGCTTGGCTCCTGCGGTTTGGAGGTGTGTTCATTTTGGCTGCATTCTAGCATGATGATGTGTGAGAGTGTGTGTGTGTGTGTGTGTGTGTGTGTGTGTGTGTGTGTGTGTGTGTTTATACTTGTGGCTAATGGTTGTTGAAGCTCTGAAATGTCAGGTTGACTTGGAATATTGCAAAGTGCTAAATTATACTGCATCATATATTCAGATTTGGTGGCAGCTGTCTAATTTATCTGTTCAATCCTGTAAAATGTTAGTGAGTAAGCCAGCACAAAACACAGTTACATATAATCAAGAACCACTGCTTTGCACATAAAGCTAGTATTATTTTGTTGGCAAGTGAAGTGGCTAGGACAGAATTACAGATGGTCCCTTGACAGTGATACAAAGTAAGTCTAAGTTAAGAGTAAAATTCTTGTCCTGGTTGAAGCTGTCAGTCCATCACACCAAATGAATTGGGGTGCGTTAAGGTTTGTTGCATGTTCCTATGTTTTTTACTGGTACTTCTAACTTTCAGAGTTTTGTTGTGAGGTCCTCATGTTTCTTCAGAACCTTAGCATGGTGATGTTCCTAATTGTCTTGTGGGTAATAAACTGCATCAGTTGTGTTTTGGCCTTTTTAAAGTTTGAATGGAAGTTTGGGTGTTTCATTACCATTAGGAGATTTATGGTCACGTCTAGAAGGGACTGTTTTTATTGAAATAGGCTGAATGACTTGTTGAATAATCAAAACCTTTTGTGACTTGTAGTGTATCAAACTAGATATTTAGGGCCACAACTAACAATTATTTTCATTATCGATTTACCTGCAGTTTTTTCCAATCAGTTTGGTTTATAAAGTGTCTGGAATTCATGAAAATGCCTGCTACAATGTCCTACCGCCAAAGGTGATGTTCAGCCAATAGTACACTATTTAAAAATAATCAGTTTAATATCACATAAGACACAGAAAAGCAGCAAATCCTCAAATCGTTTAATTCTGACAATCAACTAATTACCTGACCAATTATTTCACCTCCATGAAGATTCATGCTGTAAAAATTATGTTCTTTTTTCAAGTTACATATAATATTTATGCTTGATGTGAGCAGGTTTTTGACAGTAAAAGGCACAGGACAGTATAAAGACCACAACTAAAGCGGAACAGCTGGGCGGCATCAGCTATCCAGGATTTCAATGTCTATGTAACCTTTTCCTGGCTGTTTTAAACATGACAGTACAAGAGGCCATGGTGGTCATGTCAAGTTCCCAGAGCCGGTGGTTGCATTTTCAAGTCTTTTTCTGTTGGACCAGAGATATTTAATTTACATTGATAACAAACAAAAGAAAAACAGCAAATGAACCTGAGAATATCTGACATTTTTGCTTGCTATTTTACCTAAACCAATAGTTGCTGATAGTTTCTTGTTTTATCAACTAACAGATTAATTGACTATTTCAGTTCTACTCTTATGTTTAAATGCCTTCCACATTATCTGTAGTCTTAGATTAGTTACAGATAACCAAATCTAATTCTCTGCACTAACCAGACGGAAATTTTTCTTGAAGATTTTACATTTACAGCTGAGAACATCTGAACAGAGTGTGACATGTTGCTTATTAAACATGATGGCTGCTTTTGCTGCATTGATAATTGATCTAATGTTGATTTGATCAAAGTGATCCAAGACGCTATTTGATTTTGTGGCACAAGTTCCTTTGATCACTCTTGCGCTTCACTGACTCTGGTAGAAAATAGTCTTTAGTTCAACCTCTTGAAATATTTTGTGTCTTGTGACAGGATGAAACCCAGTGACTGCTAACCACCTCCACCCATGGCCACATGACTACAGCTCTGGCAGCAAAGCCAACATCGGCAGGGAACTCCAGCTCTCTCCTCTGAAGGGGCTCTGTCCTCCTCCTCTTCCTCAACTCCAAACCACTCTTCCTCACCTCCACCTCAACAGCCAGCTCTCCTCCTCCTTTTGTCATGTTTTTTTGTGTGTGTGTGTGTCCCAGCCCAACAGCATTAGTCAACCACCGCACATATCCCTCTTCTTAGCCGTGTTGGCAACATGTCACTCCCACATCCTCTTCAGTCCCCCACATTACAGCTTTTCCATATCTCCTCTTCCTTTTTAAACTGTTTACAGCAGATACTTTGACATTCTTTGAAGAGCGCACATTTAAAAAGACAAACACACCAGCGCTTTACCCCCTCCCCCCCGCAGCCACACCTCAACCACCACCTGCGCTGCTTCTGGAGTCAGAAAATCTGTTTTTTGCTCTAATATTATTATTTACAGCTTTGTCTTTCTGTCATGCTTCTTAGCATTTATGAAATTAAAACTGAAAATAGGGGCTATGCATTGCCAATTTGTAATGGTGTTCATATGTGTATTTTTAGAAAACCTTTTTTCAGAGACAAAAATGAAAATGTTCTATTTTTTATAAGAGATTACTTGAAGTTTTTCACAGTGATGGGGGGTTGGTTAAATGAAAAGCTCTGCCTCCTCCCACATGAGAAATTCAGTGGCATGTGATGTTTTCATGATGTACATAGTGTTCTTTTTAAAAGATGTGTGTAAAAAGACATATTTTTTTTGCTTGTAAAAAAGAAAAAAAAAGAAGACACACAATATTACAGATTTGAATACAGTAGAAAGCTGATTTGATGACTTGTTCTCCTTTTGAAATGAATTTGTCTTAAATTCTTCTCTCTTAAGAGTGTAATCCTCAAATAAAACTGGTATCATCTAGTTTACTTAACAACATGTGTTTGTACTTTTCTGGTTACTTTACCACAACTCTGCATCTTGAATTGTCATAAGTAGCATCTCAGAATGTTACTACAAACAAAGAAATTTAACTTAAAGCAATAATTTGAGATTTGGGGAAACATACTTTCTGTTTTAAAGTTGAATCAGAAGACTAATACCGTGTGTGTGCGTGTGTTTTAGTTAAACGAGGACAGAATAAACAACGGGACAGCAGCCAGTTAGCTTGGTTAGCCTAGCACAAAGACTGGACACCTGGGAGGAAGTTTCTGCTTTCAGCTAAAGAATTCTGGCGCATAACCCCTCTTTGGTGGTTACTTGCATTAGCCTCATCATGCTGCTTAGCAACGTAGCGGCAACCATAGGAGGGTATAGAGAGTTACTCTTCTTAGAGATAAGGTTAGACTCCCATAAAATCGCTACTTTTCGTTATACCCGTTTTTGTACAAATTAACAAACAAAATATAACGTGTTAATTAGTGAGTATTACAGTGAGGCAGATTTTTGTTACCATTCGACAGAGTGAGGTTAGTCGTTTTCCCGTTTCTATGCTATGCAAAGAGTCTGATGGTAAAGTAGACTAATGACGTTACCTAGCAGCCGGAATTCTGAGTCCCAGGAACTAAGGTTTTATTTTACATTAATAATAGAAAAGTTAGGCTAAAATTAGTCATAAGTAAATGAAAGAATTAGAAAAGAACAGAATCCGTTCAAGTATAGGAGCTTTATTGATCTTCTCATGTTAATTTCTAGCTGCTTTTAGAAAATATTCTCAGAATCTTTTTTAACTGTTTTAAAGATTTATTAATGACTTAATTATCATTAGTAATATCTTGCATATTTTTTTTAGGGTTTTAGTGTTTAATTTATATTACACTTATATTAAATACTCCTTTTCAGAGCCAAACTTTCAGTCTATGATTCCTCTTAAAAGTGCTGTCAGGACATTCCTTTCCCACTGCCAGTCTACAGAGAAACCACCCAGAAACAATCGTTTACATAGAAGGAAAACCACCAACTTGTCTCTACAAAGTCAAAGTATGAATCAGACTGCTGTCTTGTTGTCACCACTTTGGAAGATGTAGTAACAAGTTGTAGAGAGGAATCAAATTACTAGGGTGGGTGGGACTACCAGGAATACAATATGGCACCTGGCCAACCACTTTCAGTTAAATAGGCAGAGGCGAAGTCCAGTGGGAGCAACACAAACAAAGTCTTTGTTGTTTTAGATAAATTTACACTGAATTCTTTGAACAATCTTTTATTGGAAAAAACATTCAAATTCTGCAATACCAGGAAACAGCAATGAAGTGCACGTTTGGGTCAAGCCCATAATGTAATATTTGTCCATCTGAAAATGATCAAAACAAAGAAAACTGCTCTAAATTTCCAAGAGTAGGAAGGTTCTTATGGGATTGCCAAGTTATTGGTCCAGACCAGGTAAACTCAATATAATTCACTGTTTTACATCAGACAGTGTCCAGTATCTAACACAAAAACTCCTCACTAAGCAGATGTGACCCCAGCCAATAATTCACCAAGGTCTGAAAAATGCATTGGTGTCATGTTAATTATAAGCTAAAAATAGCAAAAACTAAATATATGTGTTTCAGAATAGTGCAGGAGGGATGCCACTGCCAAAAAGAAGACTCCAGGAGGTTGGGATCTTCCATTTGTTGGGCTCTTGGCTCTGAAACAGGAGTAAGACAAACTGTTGATTAGATATTTGTAATCTTAAAGTTGTAGATTGTAGAGATTTTTGCTATGCAGAGTAGCTTTTCTTAATCAAATTTAAGTCACTGCAAGTAGGTTTTCATATCGTACTGAGAACTATTGGAACAACAACAACAAAACTGCAATGTTAGACATCTTGTTTGCTCCAGTTGTCACTTACAGGGTTGTCCAGCAGATGGAGCCAGTCGTTGAGGTGATTGACAAGGGTGAAGGCGTCTGGGATGTTGTCCCCTTCTGAACAGAAGAGCAGCAGCACAGCCAGAGGAAGATCCTCCGAACAACTAAACACAACATCCAGCACACATGGTCAGACAAACATACATAACAAGCTGTCATCACAATGTAATTATTAGGTGTTTACAGTGTTATTTAAGTATGCTGAATTAAAAACACATTTTAGCAGGAAAGTTGTTTTTCGTCACCATTTAATGGAAGATACAGCTCCAGCTAGATTTTAAATATATAGCCATTTCAAATATACCCAACCAAAGTTTGAGAGGTGACAAGATACTCACAAATCTGTGTAGCATGGCGTTCAAGTAAAAATAAATTATTCAAATTGTGTGACACTTCACCATTAGCTTCTTGAATTTATGGCTCCCATATCTCATAACTATAAACTATATAGCATTTTGTAATTATGACTAAAGAGATAATTCAGTGATTTTTATTTCACAAATATGATTTAAAGATTGAGAAAAAGTAAACATGGTTTACATGTCACATGCTGCTTGCTACACACACACACACAACTGGTGCACTGTTACGACTGCATTTAATGAATGAATTACACCACAATGCTACATAACCAACTCAATGTGCGTCGTTAGCTGCTGTAATTTGGTAATTATATAGGACTATGACTCATGTTGCATAGATAAACAGGAGTTACAACTCTATTTTTTTACTTGTTAACACTAAAAGCTTCTAAAAGTAGCTTCACCTTTTACATACAAATAGTCATATTCAAATTTTTCTCTGTTCTTTCAGATTAATCATGATTTGAGGTCTTTATGAAGCTGCCAGCAGGCTGATGCAGCTTTCTATCTCTACCTGTCTGTGTAGAGTCCTTTGGTGATGCCCCCTCCAGGTATGCAGAGGCGTGGTTCTGTGTTGGCATCTGTCAGTCCTGGGAAAGCTGACACGAGCTCCATCTCCTTCCAGCCCAGCTCCTTCAAAGCATCTGCACTCACCTTCAGCAGGGAGGGAGTGACCAGGTACCTCAAAGAAGTGCTACAATACACACATACACATTTGTTGATTAGAGTTGAATAGAAAGAAATGTACTGATGATGTGAAGGACTTTGTTATTACCCTTCCAGCTGTCGGTCATCTCTCTGGTAGGCATGACTACTGGACAGAATTACAGTCCTGGAGAACCCGCTGGATTTGATCCAAGACACGACCAACTGACGAAACTTTTTGGATTTTGTCTGCAATTAAAACAAAGGTTAGAGCAACAAATATAATAATGTCAATTCCAGTCTGGGTTCAAGGGAAAACAAACTACACCATCACAGAAGGTAAAAATGTACTTTACACCCTCTTAAATCAAAACCCAGCAAAAAGAGATAGATAGATAGATTATAAAATTAAAAAGGTAGTCCTCAAACTAAAAAAACACTTGGTTTGCATTGTTGTTGAATGAAAGTATAGCAGTATTGTTCATGTCCCCTTCTGTCATGTCGAGTTCAAATTCATTCAAAATAAAACAGGATTCACAGAATCAGCTCGTGCTGATGCAACAGTCTGGTTTTACCTGAATAATTGGCGCTCTGATCTGAAGAACTGCCAACTTCAGTTCTGGTGCTGTATAAACTGTGGGTGAAAGACGGTTGACAGACTGAGGATTAGACTTTGGGATTGCGTTGGATTTCTTTTCACTTCACACTGCTGATGACCTATCTCAGATCACACTTTATTCAAAGTGTGCCAACAGCCACTGAGACTCTGGTCTGGTCTACTTGGTAAAGAAACATCATCCAATCTTCATTTTAGTCCTTGACAACAAATGACTGAGGAAATGTAGTGTAATCGTAAAGAAAAGTACAACAAAGTTTACCTTAAAACTTTAAGTACTGCAAATAACTAACAATATTTTCGCAGAAAAATAAAGTTACTATCAGTTATAGTAGAATTTAAAAATTTACAAAATGCCACAAAAAGCTCCTCAGTGCTAGTTAATAAAGAACACGCTTCACAGGTGAAATTTGCGGATTTACGCATCTACAGCTGTCAAATAATCAAGACCCAAACATGGTACCTTCTGCAGGGGTGTGCAGCTCCTCAGCATCTTCTTTGCAGGTGGCGTATGGGTTGTTCCCAGCCATCGGGATGAGACAGTCTGTGTGTATGTAGCCCACTCGATTCATGTTGAGAGTGGACACGATGAGGTCCACTGCCAGCTGACCCACATTACCGACAGCCACGGCTGGCTGGAGGGAGAATCAACAACAGCTTATTAATAGTCTGAGTCTTTCTTTAATGTAAATATGCAAAACATGTCATGGTTCCAGCGTCTCATACGTGATGACTTGGTGCTTTTCCTTGTCTTAAATTACAGTAAACTAGATCATTTTTAGGTCTAGACTATAAGCCGTTTGTCAGCATTCAAGTTATACAAACCAAACAATTAATAGATTAACTGAGAAAATGATCAGCACATTAATCCATAACGAAAATAAATTATGTAAAATAGTTGAAGATCAGAGTTCAGATGCTTCTGACAATTTACTGCATGAGGGATAGTACAGTTATTATATGATGCCTCCTGATGTGTCACTCACCATGACGAGGGTGAAATCTTTGAAACAGGGCGGCGAGTTATCTGAGGAGATAAACATGGTGCTGTTCAGGTAGCTGACACACGGAGCCAAACGGGTAAAGATTTTTAAAACTTTTATAATAACCAAAACTATATTCTCCAGTCAGGTTTCACTTCTATTTTCATGCCTGGTGTTGAGGACCTTTTGGACCCCCACTCGCCGTCGATGACTGATGATAAACCGGCTTTAGTAGCCGCTGTAAATGCCTGAATCAAATATATCCCTGAAGTTTTATTTTGAAAAAAAAAAAAGAAATAGTAAAGACATTTACAGCTTGTGACTATCTGTGTTTATCGATCTATATACTTCCTAAGGCTATATATTTGAAATAGTGTTTTAGGAGTTACTATTATAATCAGGGATATCAACGGTCAAACTGCAGCTCCGCAAAGATTTACTGTGTAGTAGAGATTAGGAACTCACAATTCCCCCCGACCCCCAAACAGCACAATCTTAAAAACTCAAAATTAAAAAAATCAAAATTAGCAAGACAAAAAATACATAAAAAATAAAATCTAATAATTATAAATATATTATATTATATTATATATAATTTAAATTTAAAATATATATAGTTTTGTAATGTTTTAATTCAACAACAAAAACAAGACTTTGAATGCAATTTTGAATCCTTTATCCAATCTTCACAAAAATTGGTACAGATTATCTTCAGACAAAGCCTTACAGAAGTTATCACATGGATTTTTGATTATCGAAAGTGTTAGTTTGTCACAGCTAATCAAAAAATACAACAAAGCCACCAAACCAGGATGTGAGGTCATATCTCTGCAAGGTTTTATGAAACCTAAAGTTCATAGGACCTCAAAAGGAGGTACACTTGCTGAAAATTAAAAATGTGAGGTAGTTTTATTTTGTCATAAACTGTGCATTTTAATGTAAAAGTCATTTAATCAAAAAAAGGTTTTATGGCTACACTAAAACATTAAAAATCATCATGTCAGTTTCTATCCAACACTTGTTCACAGAAGAGTGATTTGAATTGATACATTAGTTGTCAGGGTGATTGTGATAGATCATTAGACAGAACAAAGTACAATCAAACTCATTTATGAGCAAGTAAAAGCACTTAGTCTATTTCTTAGTAGAGACACTAATGCCATTAATTAAACATTACTAAATTCAGACAGATAATTTACTATCATTTAAGTCAGTTTGGCATGACTTCATTGGGAATAGGTAGGCCTTTCACTGCAGCCACAGCATTTTCTACCATCCTCTGCACCATCCTTCTGGTTGTTGTGTAAGTGTTGGTGCCAACATGGGGGGTGATCAGCACATTAGAAAGACCAAGTAGAGGATGATCCCTGCACAGGATGAAGAAGAGAAGTTGTTAGAAGCCAGCAAGGAGTTGTTTTTGTTTGTTTGTTTGTTTGCTTGTTTGCTTGCTTGCTTGTTTGTTTGAATATCAAATGCAGTCTAGAGGTTGGAAAACCTCTAGGTTCTTGGTCTCTAGACAACAAAAACAATGAGCTAAAAGAGGCTAAAAGTCTTTGCTGTAAAGCTGCAGGGAATTATTCTCTTTGTGTTCATAAATATAAGTGACTCCTTTCATGTAAAGCATAATCTTTTGATCCACTATTAATGAAAAATATCAATTTGTGCAGCTTCAAACAAATAATAAGAATAAGTACAACTTGGTCCTGACCCCAAGGTGAGAACTGTTTCTCATTGTAAATGAATGAATAGCACAGACTTTATTATTTCTATTCAAATGCTGTGTGTAATGTGCTGAGGTCCCTGGATATCTTGTATGTGAGTGCATACCATGTTTCAGCACAAATGGTAAAACATTCATTTTGCACAGTTAATGTGAAAGTATAGTGATTCTGGTTGAAGAGTGTGGCAGCTTTCAGACAGATGAGACCTTGGTAAAGGTTCAGGGTGAGTCACGTCTAATGCAGCTGCTCGAATTGTTCCGCACCGCAGAGCTTTAACTAAAGCATCCTGGTCCACAACCAGACCTGAGACACAAAAAGAACAAAATCAGACTAAAAGACCACAGTTTCAGAATAACCTTAACAGTTGCTTTGGTTTCTGGACTTTATCCTCACCTCTGCTGATATTGATCAGTGTTGCTGTGGGTTTCATGAGAGACAGCTCTCTGTGGCTGATCAGACCGGTGGTATCAGGGGTCAGGTTGACCGCCAGCATCACAAAGTCAGACTCTTTCAGCAGGTCATCCATGTTCTGGCAGAAACTCGCTCCCACTGCCTGCTCATCCTCAACACTCCTGAACAGCACAGAGGAAAGATGAGGGTGATCACTGACATTGTCTCCTTAATTCATTGATTTAATATATTTCTTTCAGATATCTGGTTTTAGGCTTTATTAGTAATATATATATACACGCTTTATTTTCTGACTACACAGCAGGTATAGTTTCAGGATGTTTTTTGCTTGTGTTTAATATAAATTAGTCTGCAAATTAAATGCAATGATGAATAGCTTATAGACACATTTGTTTTTTACCATTTCTAAATTAACCAATTATCTATTTTTTCAGTTCGCTTTCACCTTCTGTTCCTGTTGTGATACAGGATCTTCATGTCAAATCCTTTGCCTCTCTGAGCGATTTTGTATCCGATGTGTCCCATTCCAATGATCCCAAGAGTCGACCCTGTGACTTCAACTCCCATCAGGCATTGTGGTATGTGGGTGGTCTTGGGGTCAACAGCTATTTGGTGACCTATAAAGAGAAGAACCAAAACACTTTAATCGCTAAATCATATGCAGGATGTAGTGTGCTGTAATAAACTCATCTGACTACCTCTCCAGATGAGGCCTTCTGCTAAAAACCTTTTATAAATACATCATGTTCAGTTTTTTGATTTTGGAATTGAACTAAAGCTGTGTCGCATCAGGTCAGGATTGAGTCGACCTTTGACCTCACCCTCAACAATCTTCCGTGCTGATGCCAGAAGCAAACCCATGGCAATATCTGCAGTGGCATCGCTCACCACACCGGGCGTGTTGGTCACCTTCACCCCGAGACTGGTGATGTACGGCACATCAAGGTGGTCGATGCCCACTCCTCCATTGGCAACCACCTTCAGCGATGGAAGTGAACTGAGCAGTGAGGGCTTGGCTGCAGGACAGGCGTTCCACACGAACATGGCCTTGATTTTAGGACCGTGCAGCGCAGAGTTTTGTAGAAAGTCTCTGTAGCAGATGATTTGGAAGTGTTGTTTCATTATATCAGTGACTTTCTCGAGGTAACCCTGCTCGCCCACCTCTGAGATCAGAGCCCATGGTTTTTCCTCCTCCATAACCTGTAGCAAGCAAGTAAGTAAACTTTATTTATTAAGACAGAAGTTACAAAGTGCTTTACAGGCAAAGGAAAGAAAAAGATAAAAGAGACACAGGAGACAATATACTGTATGAAACAAGGAGAAATAATTGTATACTCCACAAAATAAAACATTTGATATTAACTGTATTAATGTGTGATTAATTGAGTTACTTACTATTATTAATCTATAATACAATGATTGTGAGATTGGAGAAGTTGATGTGGGCGTCAGTACTACATTTTTGCCCCCTAGTGGATTAATCCGGCTCTGGACGTACAGAAGCTGCCATCTACAATATGTTGTTAAGATATTTTAATCTGTGTGTGCAGCGGGTGAGGGGTGGGTGTGGGGGGGGTGTGGGGCATGTTCAGTGCTTGAAATCAAAATATTGCCTTACTGATATACACTAGTGTCAAAATCAGGACCTGTTATACTAGTTTCCAAGATGGATGCCTTAGTTACTCAAATCACTTCTCATTGATTACACACACACACAATAACTATGATGAATGATACCAGTGACACATGTAAAGGCCAAGTATAAATATTGAAAAATCAGCTGCAGCATTAAAAACTTGCAGAAATCAGGAATGGACCGGACTGCACTCACAAGTATTCCCTCTGCTCTTGACCCAGGAAGAACTAGTTAGGGAAGTTGGAGGATTTCAAAATAAGAGCTTTCTTAACAGTAGTACCAGAACTAACAACAAAAATTATTTTCTACTACTACTATTACCAGTGATAATAATAATAATAATAATAATAATAATAATAATAATAATAATAACAACGACAATAACAACAATAATAATAATAATAATAATAATAATAATAATTAAATAAATTGTGATTTATCTATAGTACTGTGCAAAACATATTTTGAGCCTTATCGATCATGCAATACCATCAGGGATGCATTTAGTTGGTCAGTCTGCAGCAGGACAATGAACCCATACATACAGCCAGAATCATAAAAAACAAGGAGTCCTGCATCATGGAGTCAGTCTGGGATTACATGCTGAGACAGGGGACACTGAAACACCCTTAATCCATTTCATGATCCATCAATAACTTTTTTTGTAACTTTCATCGATAGTTATCATTACCATGTTCTTACATCACCTGTTTCAAAAGATCAGAATATACTGCTTATGATATTTCAAATATTTCAACTGTATAAAGATTTGCAGATACCATTGTTGTCATGTAAAACATGAGGTAAGGATGGACAAAATGAATATAGTAACAGAGCTTAATTAAAAGGGTATTAGTACCAGTATTTGTACATTAAAAGGAATCTAATACCAAAACTGTGACTTGCGAATTCCACAATACCTTTTTATGTTGCAGCTGACATACAGATCTGTGCAGTTTTGTCGCTTTAAGAAGCCGGGATGCTTGTGCTGAACCCCACAGTCTCCTCACACATCGGGCATAGCAGAGACTTGTCATTCTGGCTGACAAGTTATTAATTGTAAATTAAGAGTTTTTTTTTAGTGTTACACAACAAGCAAAAGCCCAGCAGAAATGATTGTCTGTAAAGCTTGGTGGAAAAGCGAGAGGTAATCAACACTAACAGCTGATTTGATGTGCAAAAAATCCATAAGAGACTGAACATAAAACGCAAAGGAAAGCAATACAAAACTATATAACCATATGCTTAATATATGTGAAAAAGAATGTGCATGCAGTGAGTACACAGGTCAAATTGCTATGAATAAATGATTAACATGACATTCGTAGGTCAACTTAACAATCCCGGGCAAACCTATGGGTGCTCAGTGAAAAAGATTCAACAAATGACCCAAAAGTATTTGATTTATGTAGCAGTGAAATACTTTAAATGGCGGCAATTTTATTTATTTTTTTGTCTGTTTGTCAGAGTGAAGTTCTCACCTTTTCAGCAGGAGATGATTTTCCTCAACCCTGGTGCTTCCTTATTCTGGAGTAGAAATTGAGGGTTACGAGGGAGGAGGCAGAGGAAGACATTTGATCAAGTCCTGTCCTCCCATTAGCTTTGGATGAAGATTAAACAGAGTAACCCAAGCAGAACAAAGGGCAATCTACACTCTGTGACATGGAGAGGAGCAGTGAACCGGGTAGGCAGAAGCTCCAGGGTAGTGATTGGTGCACAAAACTAAGCGCTATAGGACTGTGATCAAGGGTCAGTAACTACCCCACTGCCCAAAAATAATGTCTAGTTCGCTTACCTGTTCCAGTCTGCTTGTTTTAAGCTCCACTGTATATGTAATTTGAGATTTGCTTACATGAAAATGATTATCCCCAAGGGGTAGTTAAAAAAAAGTGTAGCAGCAAATAATAATTAGAAGAGAAAAATAATTCAAAGGTCAAAATTTTTGCATGCAAAATGGCAGTTCACCAACAAAATGTATGACCATGGATATGCAAAATATATGGATTTTAGCATCAACACAATAAGGTATAAACCCTAACGTGAGATTTGCATATTGTGAAAGCGTGGAGTAAAATGAAAAACAAAAACATATGAATGACCAAATAATGACAATAAGAAAACTGAGTGTATGAGAAATGACAGTAACATACAGATGAACAAAATGTGCAGGTGTGTGAGAGCAGCGTCTATAGAGCATAGAGCCGGTGTGCAAACTGGTCACCCGCAGGTTTCTGCTGGATGAGTTTTTGATAAGGTATCCCCACAATTTCAAGACATTAATGTCACCAAATCAAGGGCCACAGATGTCATTTGAACATATAACCACAAGGTGTCACTAACACATTGACACATTGAAAATAGCCATAATGCAAAATTGAATTAGTAAGCTACATTTTGGCCGCACTGACTCCACTCCACCTCTCAATATTTAATCAAAGCCATCACAATTCTTTTATTTCCTTTTTTCATTGTTCTTGCATCTCATTTATCATTCTGACCTAACATACTGTACATTTACACTGTGAAATTTAAAATCCATTGTAAACAAGGATTCAACTGTCTTTTTTATGTTGATGTTGTATGTATTGCTGAAACAGTCTGTAGGAATTTAGAAGTCTATGAATTTGTAGCTTTCCAGGCATCCTTTATATTTTGAATATAGCCTCTTTCACTTTAATTGGAGATGGACTGAGTTCTTTCCTGAACTTTCCTGCACCTTTAAGATTCTCTTTTACTAAATGCTCTTTAGTAGATTTTTTTTTAAAAAAAAGAAAAAGACAAGCTTCATTTCAACTGTAACATTTGTTGAGCATGAATGCAACTTTTCATTCAGTTGCATGCTTTCACACTGGAAACTTGTCATTACCACTTTTCTGCTGCTATTTCTCAGTAAGTGCCAGATGAGAGATTGTGGACAGTCACAAGGTCATCTCTTTAACCTATAAAATGCAACTTCCCTCATAGGTTTCGTGCAAGTTGGTGATAAGGAGGTGTGTGTGTGTGTGTGTGTGTGTGTGTGTGTGTGTGTGTGTGTGTGTGTGTGTGTGTCTGCAATGAGCCAAACCATCAGGGACGGTCATGTGTGCAAGGCAGCTGCAGATCAGCAGCTTACTTGCTTTTGACTGTTGCATAATCTCACCAACTTAAGACAGGTTGCTGCTCTTCCTCTCCTCCCTCTGACTTTTGACTCCTCCTCTGCACCTGTGTCTCTCATCCTCACCTTCTCCAATCTTCCTCTCTCCCACCTGGACACTCCTGTGCTACACTTTTTCTCCCCCACCTCTCTTGTCTTTCCCTTTCGTCCTCTACTCTTTCCAGATCTTCAGAAGCTCCGCCCCTCCAGATATACATCTTCCTGGTGTCTATGAGGCTGCAACCTTCTCTCTCCCTCTCTCTCTCCCTCTCCCTCTCTCTCTCTCTCTCTCTCTCTCTCTCTCTCTCTATGCTGGCCAGGGGTCATTTAAGCTTCCATTAAGTCAGTTCAGATTCCCAGCCAAGCTTCAGCTCCATCTGCTTCCACGTCTGACAGCATGTGGCCTCTTAACAAAGTGCTGACCCTCGTGCTACACCCAGCAATTATACCAGTGCTTCATTACACAGCATTTTGTATCTTGTTGTCAGTGCTCTTCCCTTACCACTCAAGTCCCATTTTTGTATTCATTCCTGCTAATTAACACTTAACATCATGGCTCGATAGGACTCAAGCTGTTGTGCTGCATGTCACAGTCTCATGTTTGCAGACAGGTGAGGACTTATACCTGACCTGTGGTGTCATCATTATCACGGTTCAGCACAGAGGAGTCACTAAGTGAAAAAGTCCTTAAGTAAACTCTGGCTCTGACTTTAATAGATTAATGTGTGACGTGAGTCCACAGATCCTTCCTGACTCAGCTTATCGGCGCCACAGAGCTCTCTGAAGTCAAGGTGTAGCTGATTTTAACGCTGTTTCCTCTGAACAGATAAAAATAAAACTCCAAAACAATGCAGATGACTTTGCTGTAGCATTTATAAATGGTGTTAGTGCTGTGGTGTCACATCTGCTTTCTTGTATTTTCTGGGCAGCAGAAAACTGCAGTGAGAGAAAAATCTAGTTACTCTCGATTCACATCCAGAGACAAACCAATACACATAATGTAACATCATGTGTAAGGACTCAGAAATAATACAGGTAGTTACCACAGCTGCCACATCCATGAACGAACTGAAAGATTCATGACCCTGAGTTAGTGTTGGAAGATATATTTATCATTTACTTAATTAAAAATAGACAATCGCACTATAAAAATACTCCATTACAAATAAAGGCTCTGATTTCGACATTTTACCTGAGTAAAAGTACAGAAGTATTATCAACAAAAAAGTACTTAAAGTATTAAGTAGTAAGTAAAGATTCTCATTAGGCAGAATGGCCCCTGACTGTGTTATTGTATTGTTGGATCATTATAAATAACCCTTATTAACCAAACGTTAACCACTTGTATATTATAATCAACTGTTCTATTTATTGTCTGGCAGTTTAAGCTTTACCAATGCATCATTCTTTATATGATCATATATTTTGTGTGCAAAACCCAAATCTGTGAAGTAACTTGTAACTGTAGTGGTAAGATAAATGTAGCATAGTATGAAGTCCAATATTTTCCTCTGAAATGTGGTGAAGGTATAATGTATGACAAAAATGGAAATGCTCAAGCAAAGTACCACAAAACTGAACTGAAGTACAGTACTTGAGTAAATGTATTTTAACATTGGGGAAGGCTGTTGACATCCAACATTTTAGAGTTTCTTTAATCTTCTTTTCTATTAAAACACTGTTTTACATTGATGGTGAAATACTCATCTTAACACTGCAGTACTGTAAAACCTATCTATGTTCTTACATTGTGTCTCTCATTAAAACTGGCAATATTAACTGGCAGTCCCCTGAGCACAGAACATGTCAAGATCCTGTATCAAAATATAATGGAATATGAAAAATGTTGTTTCCGTTACTGAGTGTTACTGATTGTGCACTCTGGTGAATAAAAGTGCTTACATTTTCATCTTTGTGCTATCATCTCCCGTGCCACTCTTTGGGCCACGTGGAGACTCATCCTGCTGAACTTGTTAGAGGACACCTGCGAGACAGTGTTCTGGTTCTGACTGATAAAATGATAGATTATGTGATAAGTACAACTCGTGTCCTTTGTGACTCAGGCTTCCCCAACAGCTTTTACTCATGCGCTGTTCCCTGGGCAACTTCACAGGATTTCCCCTCCTGCATGTGCTGTTGTCTTGCAGAAATACAAAACAGAAAAACAGAGACCACACACACACACACACACACACACACACACACACACACACACACACACATGCGTACACACAGTTGACACCTGTGTCTCTCCAATGGTTCTGAAGAAGCTCAACACGCAACTCTCAGCATGTTCTGGTTGGGAATAAATTCACCTGCTGGGTAATCCAGTCAGCCTGAGCATTAGTCGGCTGCTCATGACGCACGGCCCTGTGCAATTAAGTCACAGGTCGACTCAGTAGAGCTGGACTTTTTCCTCTGACTGCTGGAGGATCACCTGCTCCTCTCTGGTGTCCAATGACCTCTGCTTTTTCTATTGATACAGAGAACACCCTCAGCATAAAGTAGACATCTATAACCACTGGTGCACAGGATTATGATATCATATATTGATATTAAGTGGTTTGGCTGAGAGTCAGAAGAGAAAACTTATATTAGAAAAAATAGAAAAGTTGTTGAGCAGGGAAAAGAAACATTATGATGCATTCTTACAGGTGAATCTCACACATTGTGGGTGATATGCACCGCCCTCTGTGTAACATTCAAATGTCTTTTCTCAATAAGATCACAATCCTCAGCCAGAGAGCTTAGCTCACCTCAAAACTTTTGGCCACACTCCTCAGCAGGTTCAGAGCAGCACAAGGTTAGCCCTGCCTGATTAGGTAACAGATAATCAGCAAGAAGAGGTTGTTGGTCCTGTATGGTGCAGCTCTGTGGCCTCTCCATCCAGCACCAGCTACTTAGCATCGTCCCTAAAGCCGCTGTTACCTAATGACAGAGCCCGTGTAGAGCCATGGGCCGGCTGATTTAGAAGGTGGCTCTCCAGTTCAAAGCCTCTTGGCATTTGAGCTGTGGCAGACCAGGCCTCACTGGTGTGTTTGTGTGTGTGTGTGTGTGTGTGTGTATGGGTGTGTGTGTGTGTGTGTGTATGGGTGCGGAGTTGGCGATGGCTCTTCAGTGGACAGCCAGTCAGATCAATGTTATGCAAACCTATTAGTCAGAGGTTGCAGTGCTAGCTCCACACAGCCTACTCAGGGACTCTCCCTCAGGGTCAAACTCACTGATGAGCTCTCACTTCTATCAAGAGTGAATAACAACATTGTCTGCTGGGTAAAGGCCAATGACAGAGAACCACAGCTTTACATTGTCCAACAACATGACACTGAATTACTCATCCTGACACTGCATTGGAACAGGTGCCATTGCATTTTGTCAGCATTGGAAGCATCAGTGTTTCCTGTTGTTACCCTCAGTTTCAACATAGCATGCATGCTCAACAAATTTTTATC